TGCTAGTGTAAAACTATATGTTTTATTTTGAAAAGATACACTTATCTCATGATTATGGTATACTTGTTATTACTATCGTTTGGATACTTTTTCATGGTTATTTGTGGTAATAAACATTTGATGAACTATATTGGTTACTGAGATGTTTATCTCACCCTATGGTTATATTTTACAAGCAAAGGCTCTGGTAGGGGCAAGGAGAAGGAAGGAGTATCTGAAGAGTGAAGAGCATTGTAGTATAGTTCTTTCCTTTCTCGTTTTTGGTTTTGTAACAAATATTATCACTAAATATTGCTAACTTAGAACATGACATTATTTGAATATTACTTGTGTGAATCTTGTGATAAGTGTGTATATCTTGGTTCAAGATTGATGTTATGGATTAAACGTGTGCTTGGCCAAGTTATATTTATAAGTGATATATATTTCAAGTGTTTTGAGTATCAAAATGACCAATTGATTTGTGTGTTGAATTTTATCCGCCTCGTTGTGTTATTGTCAATTGGGGGTTTGATGGTCATTTTGAGCGTAATTACTCAATTGTGTGTTATGATTGAATTGTTATGTGGTATGTGGTTCATTTGAGGTGGTCAAGGTGTCTCCGGGGCTAATGGCATTTAGTATTATGAGTTGGACACCATGGTATATGTTTTGTTGTGAAAACAAATCATTTTGGATTTGAGTGTCTATCTTTTAAATGGATGATTGTTTGAGTGTAGAATTGGTGCCATTAGCTAAAGGGCTCAAAGAGCTTTGTGTGGACATTTAAACTGCTCAAATCAGATGTCAGATGGCAAAACGGTGCGCTCCAGAAGTTTAGAGAGATGCCATGACAGTAATCTACTGTCATGACAGTAGGTGCGTGCCGCGTTGCATGATGATTGCATTGCAATGCAAGAGGCCCTCGAGGGATTCATTCCTTTGTGCCATCCGCCATAGTGGATGGACCAGATAAGGGCAAAATGACTTGTTTTAGTTTGTTTTAAAGTAAATTGATTTCCATGCTTCCGTATTTATTTTTAATTGATTTTTAACCATGGTTTGAGTTCAAACAATATTTTAAAAAGGGTTTCTTGAGATCCCAATGTTTTAACTAATTATTTTTAAACTCTTGAGTTGTGATAACTTCTTTAGAGAATTTTATTGAATTTTAGTTATCACAACGATGTGTGGGTGTTGTCCTAGTAATGTCAAGGTGGACATTACACAAGGCATATCCAACTCATTTATGGATCATGGTTTTCCTCCCTTTTCACACCATAAGGTGTCATACACCCTTGATTAGCCTCCTCATAGAACTGGCAGATAGCTAGCTAGGTTCAAGTCCCTCATTGAACTAGTGGGACAATCCCTCATTGAACAAGTGGGACAATATGAATAGAATCAATCCAGGCAAACCATCACACGGATGGGCCTTAACACGTGGATTTTATCATCTATTCCGCTTCCTAGGTGAACTCCTGTCTCTCAAGATCATGTAATATACATTCATGCCATAACTTACACATACAGTTCATAGAACTTTACCTTATCAATTTTTATTGAATTTCATCATTACACAATCATTAGACTTCTCAATCACATTTATGAAACTTCAAACCAAACAAGTCATTGAACTCTAACTTCACAATCATTGTACTTCACACTTTCAAAATCATTAAACTCCACTATTTTAAAATATCATTGAACTTCTCTTAAACAAAGATTCATGTTACTTCTCAATTTGCAAAATCATTGAACTCTCAATGAATATTAATATGAAAATCCACTACTATTGTTCTCAAAGAAATTTTATATCACAAAGCATAAAACTCACAAATTGGATCTAGTAGATTTCTTAACAAATTATGCCATACTTTCATTTCTTTTTATTTTACACATTTCAATGATAAATCATAAATCAATAAACTAATAAACACATAAAAGTATGAGATAGAATTCCCCCGATTACCTTAAACCTTTGAGAGACCAAAGGTTTTACCACTCAACTACTTACTATCGAAGCTTCCAAGAAGTTTGAATGGTGCTAATGGTAGTTACACTACAAGCATTTATCATGCAAAATATCAATATCCATTTTGAGCTATTTTCTACTAACACTTTACCATTTCTTAATACTCAAGATTTATTCTTGACTCATGTAAAAGTATTTAAAAGGCTTCTTAGCTTCCTTTAACTTTCTCATTAACAACATTGAGCTCTTAAATGGGTATTAATAAAACCACATCATTCCCAACCACTAAATTTATGAGAATTTCATATATTTAATGTCCTCCAACCACCAATCATCATAAAACCATAAGTACCAAGTTTACTTAGCTCAATATACTCCCATTACCTCTATTTAAGTAAATGGGTTCGGACCCATAACTTTTATGAACTGAAAATCACCATTAACAATCAAACCCTAACCTCTACCATCAAGAAAATGGAAGAAAAGAGAAAGATTTAAACAAGGAAGCTTACCTTTAGTGTTTATGAGCTTCAAGACACTCCTATAAGTTGGTTTCTTCAAACCCTAGCTCAGCTCTTTCGTCACTCTCTCGGTTCCTTTTTGTTTTTCTCTTCTCTTTATTTCAGATTCGCAACTTAATACTGTAAAATTCTAATCATGCGTCGTAGTGGACGTACAATGTGTTGTGATGTATGGTATAGAGAGCCTCTTCCAGGCGTATTGTCACGCATGCACCGTGGTAGACTAATCACAAGCTGTAGCACGTGGCACAGAATCACTTCCTTTCGAAATTCTTTCTCTTCCATTCCTGAGTGACCCAATTCTCCTTTGAACTTGCGTTTCGAACTAAAATCGAGATCAAACACGCCCGTTAGGCCTCTCTAGCCACACACCTCTCAAATACACTTAATTAGTCTATTTAAACTTAATTAATCTTGATTTAAAATTGAGAATGTTACATAAATAATATAAAATTACTACAAAATTTGAAAATAAAGATACATATTTCAAGTTAATTATGAGTTAATAAACCTCATGACACAATATAACATCAATTGATTCAATACCAACGTTCACAATAGATATCCCTATATTAATTTAGATTTTTTTACCTAAATATTTATTCAAATTAAAACATATAAAAAGAATGAAAATGATTTATCAAAAAAGGTGTCCCAACAAAATGACAAATGCATGTATTATTCTAATATAGGGTTAAAATTAAAATAAAGTGCACAAACTAAATTCATTTTGACCTTGTCAAAATGTTTCAAAAGTGAGGAAGGTTTTTCTTAAGTGTTGAAATTAGAACAAAGTATATATATATATATATATATAAAAAGAGCCATTCAATTTTCACGTAAACATTGTGGTTGGTGGTTTTGTAACTATTCTCAAACTAATTACAAATTTAGAGTGACCCAATATGATTCAAAAGCTAAAACAATTTTGTGGTTCAAACTAAATCAAAACAAGGACTGGTTGGCAGTCCATTAGGTCAAACTATTTGGTTTAGTTCGATTTTAAAATTATTATCAATAATAGAAGGTCTAAATGGACAACTAAGTAGATCTGGTCCATATTGACTACACACTCTACCGTAGACCAACATGCAAAATTAAAAACTAATGAAAATTAGGTCCAGTAAAAATGGTAACATTTATAATGTGAGAGGCTAATATTTGAATTTCTACTAAATATGATACGCATATTTAGTTCCAACATTGCATTCAACATGATAGACAAAATGGACAGCCATAGATTAGCCCATGTTGACTACACTCAACCAATATGAGAGATTTAACATATTTCAAAGCTATCTGGTATGAATTTAAGCGTGATGAGAAGTCAATGGTTCAATTTGTCATGATGTCAAAAAAAAAAAACCCCTTTTAATAAAAGAAGAAAATAGAATACATTCTGTTTTAAACTAATACAATACTAATTTTTAAAAAATTCAGAAAATAACATAAAAAATTATTTTTGTCCTCCTAAATTAATATTGTTTAAAATTTATTTTTATAATAAGATCAACTTATATAAATTCTACTAAGTAATCACAAAAAATATTTCTTAATGAGTTCTCCATATATAGGCTTTTCTTAACAAATACAATTATCACCAATAAATTTTTGAGCATTTTTTGGATAGAATAATAATTTATTTGATCAATATAATTTAGAGAACCTGTGTATAATGGATCATTGTTCATGATATCTTTGTCCGCAATATTATTTGAAAAGAATTCATAAGTGTAAAAATAAATTTCAAAAATAATTATGCTACTCTTGGGGTTTGAACGTTAACAAATATAAAGTATTTTTAATATTTTAAGATATAATTAAGATGTTTTTTTAAAGATGTCCTTAATAAATAAATTATTTTATATTTATTTTAAAATTTAATAATTTATTATAAAGATAAATATAAAAAAATAATATTACTTTAAAAGATAATTAACTAATAACTAATTTATTGAAGTGAAAGTTTGTTAAAAATGATTTTTGAGCAAAGAGAATATAACAAGTGAGCAAAACTAGAAATTCATGGTGTAATTATCTAAGTAAAGCAGAGGTTGGCGGTGATAGAATCATAAAACTGAAGCTGTTAATCTTATATTATTTTTATATAAAAATATAATCAATATAGAAATCATTAAAAAAAGGACAAAAAACACAGGTACAATTACTTTAAAAACATAATTAAAATCTTCCTATCGTTAGCTCCGCGTCAGAAGGTTGTGCTTTGTCACTGATAATTGAATTCGTCTTATTTATTTATTTATTTGCCCTTTTCCAGAGTATGTCGATTGAAGTCAAAGGAAGCGTACGATGCCGACTGTGGTAAAAGCTCCCCCTAGTGGATCATCCGCCATTCCATGTTCACATTTACAGTACCAACACTGCTCGCATAATATCGATTCTTTTTTCTTTTGGTTACAAGATCGGATCCGTCTTTGGAAAAATATATAAATATATATATTGCGTCCAGTGCCTAACCCCTATAAATATATATATATATTACATGGGCAAAGACAAGTAAACAGCCTCGTCCTAGCATATATCATCTTCTTCCTCGAGAGTTGTATCGGGAAACGGAGTGGAAAATGGGTTCATTGGCTACTTCAGAGAAGCCTCACGTTGTGTGTATCCCATACCCAGCACAGGGCCATATCAATCCCATGCTTAAGCTCGCAAAGCTTCTTCACTTTCATGGCTTTCACATCACCTTCGTTAACACTGAGTTCAACCATAAACGTCTTCTCAAATCCCGAGGTCCTGATTCCCTCAATGGCCTCTCTTCTTTCTGTTTCGAAACCATCCCCGACGGCCTTACCGACTCCGACGAAGTCGTCGTCGACGCCACACAGGACATCCCTTCCCTTTGCGAGTCCACCCGCAGAACTTGCTTAGCTCCTTTCAGAAACCTCCTCAACAAACTCAACAATTCCCCTGATGTTCCTCCCGTTACCGCCATAGTTTCCGATGGAGTCATGAGCTTCACGGTGGCCGCCGCCGATGAACTCAGCATCCCAGAGGTCCTTTTCTGGACTACTAGTGCTTGTGGGTTTCTTTGCTACGTTCATTACCGCCAACTCATTGACAAAGGCTTGACACCACTCAAAGGTAGACTATCTTCTATGCTTTATGTATTTAATAGAACTTGGTGCTTGTTGGGTGTCTCGTTGAAAAATATATAACATACTCTAATATTACTTTTGGTCAAAATCGTGTTTTAACCCAGATTCGAGCGATTTAACAAATGGGTATTTGGAGAGTACTGTGATAGATTGGATTCCAGGAATCAAGGAAATCCGGCTAAGGGACATCCCAAGCTTTGTGAGAACCGCAAACCCAGATGAATTCATGATCGACTTCATTCTTGGCGAGTGTGAAAGGGCTAAGAAAGCTTCTGCAATCATCTTGAACACGTTCGATGCTCTAGAGCATGACGTTTTAGAAGGACTATCATCCATCTTGCCTCCAATCTACTCCATCGGTCCCTTAAATCTACTCACCAACGAAATCACTGACAAGGACTTGAAGCTAATCGGATCAAACCTGTGGAAGGAAGAATCAGAGTGTCTGGAATGGCTAGACGCGAAAGAACCAGACTCTGTTGTATACGTCAACTTCGGGAGCATCACAGTGATGACGAGAGAGCAAATGATAGAGTTTGCATGGGGACTTGCGAACAGCAACAAAACCTTCTTATGGGTAATCCGACCCGATCTTGTTGCAGGCAATAACGCAGTTCTTCCTCCAGAATTCATTGAAGAAACCAGAAACAGAGGGCTGTTATCAAGTTGGTGTCCACAAGAACAAGTTCTGGCTCATCCTTCAGTGGGAGGATTCTTGACGCACAGTGGATGGAACTCAACTATTGAAAGTATCTGCGGTGGTGTGGCTATGACATGTTGGCCGTTCTTCGCAGAGCAACAGACGAATTGTAGATTTGCGAGCAGAGAATGGGGAATTGGGTTGGAGATAGAGAGTGATGTGAAGAGGGAAGGAGTAGAGAGGCTTGTGAAGGAATTAATGGAGGGAGAGAAGGGGAAAGAGATGAAGAAGGCGGCACTTGAATGGAAGAAAATGGCGGAGGAAGCAACCTGTAGACCTGGTGGATCTTCGTTTCAGAATTTTGAGACCGTGGTACGACAAGTTCTTCTGGTAAATAAAACTATTACCAAGTAGAGGGATTTGTTATTGTTGTTGTTTTTTTTAAATCAGAGCATGTAGATTTTGTTATACCTTAGTGTTAATTATGAGATTCCATTTCCATTTATATCATATGCCAGTTTTATTGTGTGTGTTCAAAAGTCCTTGCATTGTTATGATGATATTTTATCTCTCGGTCGGTGATAATAATTACATATATAAAATGCTTTCTTCATTTTTACAAATTCAGTCCAGCATGAATCATTCCATTTATAATTTTATTTATAACAGTTCTATTTAGAAAAAATTATGTATATGATTGTATAAGAAATTTCTCTACAAATAAGTTTTACAACATTTAAAAATTACAGTCAAAAACTCTTGAGATTTAGATGTAATTTGTAGTTAGGGTGTGAAGGTAATATTGTTCTTATTAAAATACATCAATTATATACGAAAATGATACATTCGTATTTAAAAAATCTAATTGTTATTAAAGTTTATGATAAAATAAAAAAATACTCCTTAATTGAAAAAGAATGGAGAAAAATATTGAAAGAAGTTTATAAATGCTTAAATTACTTTAGTTATTTATTGAATTAGACTTGTAAATTTTAGAATTAAAGTTATAAATGAAAAAAATGTTTTGTTGCACTTTATTAATTGAAGAAAAATAATGAGAGAATGTTACAAGTGCCAAAACTAATTTAATCATTTATTAAATTAAAATTTATGAATTTTAAAACTAAAATTATAAACCAAAAAACTATTGTTGTACTTTGTTGATTAAAGAAAATTTGTAAGAAAAAAATTGTGAATGTTTAAATTATTTTAGTCATTTATTGAATTAGAGTTGTGAATTTTAAAATTAAAATTATGAAAAAAAAAACTTAAAAAGCATGATTATATTTAGGAAAATCAAATTGTCATTTTTCTATTTTAAAAGGACTTATCTATTACTCTCCCTGTAAAATAAAAGGAAGAATGCCCTCCATTGTTATCTCTCAATCCAACATGAATCATCCTGTGAAAGGTTTAGGGATAACCAACTTGGCAAGGGAAGACTCCAATAAATCCGGATCATCTAAATTTATTTTATTTAATTTTATTTTACTAAAATAAAAAATAAGATAAATTATAAAAAAATTAATAAATCTGTTTACTAATTTGACAGTCTAGATTTAGTATGATTGGTTCAAACTTAATACTAAAAATTTTTAATATTAAAACTGTACTGTCCAAAATATATTTAAATAATTAATTTATAAAAAATTATAAAATTTTAATGTTATATCTGAATCATATATATTAAATAGATTATCTAAACTGATCAAAAGATTTATTTAATTTTTTATAATTTTTGATAATTTTTTATTTTAATAAAATAAAATAATAAATATTAAACCTGGGTCGTCTAAATAAATAAATCTGGATGGTCCAAGTTTATCACCAGACTCCAGCTGCAGCAAAAACATAAAAAAAAATAAATAAATAAATCTAGGAATGATCTAGATTTATCTCCAGCTGCAGCGCAGGGAAGCCAAGTCCAGGCAAAAGTAAAACATGATGTCAGTAATCCTTACCATTTTCTGATGCGTTGACCAGTCAATTTTGGATTCGGACAACCTATAGGAAATAAACAAAAAACAAAAAACAAAATTTGATCGCCACATGGGCCCACCATATCCAAAAGAATTACTACTAAAGAGAGACGTGAACAATTCTGCGTTCTGACCATTAGATATGGAAAAACTGCCCATCAGCGTGTGATGAGCTTGAGTCTATAAATGCAGAGACCAAAAAGTTTGGATATGAAAAAAAAAAAAATCAAAAATAGTGCGGGCAAAATCAGATCCTCGACTTGACTTGGCAATCGTTCTTCGGAGCTCTGCCACTGGGGTTAGGGTAAATTAGGGAGGGGGACATAATGCAAATTGATAATTTAGGGTGTGTTTGGATTAAAAATTTTAAAATTGAGGTTAGAATCAACTGAGGTTAGCAAATTGAGGTTAGAAAAAATGTCTGTTAAAGTGACTTTAACGTGATTTATGTTTGGATACATTTTTTTAAAAGTCAGTTAAAAGAATTAAAATTTGTTTGGATGATTTGATTCAAAAACCAATTGAGATATATAATGACAAAAATAAACATCAATTTTTTTTGTATATATTAACTAATATGATATTTTTAGGAAATAATATTAAACTTACAATTAAATTTTCAGAAAGGTAAAATTAAATTATACAATTTTATTTTTTAAAAGTTAGAATTAAAAAATCTAAGATAAATGACATATTAAATTTTTTTAAATTTTATAAATGTGTTGCACTGATTTAAAAAAATAAATTACATTGCTACTAACTTAAAAAAATTATTGTTTATGATTAGTTTTTTATTCCATTTAATTTAATCATAATTGATTTAATGATTCAATTTGTATAATCTCATATTTCTTTTTCTTTCTATTTTTTACTGAAGCCTTGTGCAAATATTTTACGGTATGATGAGAGATTGAGGAAGCCAAGAGATATCATGTGAGGACAAGAAAGAGAAAACCCACAAAACAATGAATGCCAACTTCACTTTCCCACGTTATGTTGCTCCAGAAGCTGCGTTTTGTGGCTTCAGTTCTAACGCCCGTTTTTTTCCCAACGCTCTTTACAAAATTTTTGTAGCCAAACAAGAATTTTATTCTTATAATGAGCTTTTGATACCTCAACTGAGGTTTTGATCATTCAAACCTCAGTTACGTATTTATCCAAACATGCACTTAATTTGGATAACTCGAAGTTAATAGATGCTGTTGGGCCTATTGGACCTTGGGGCTTAGAATAAGGTTATAGAGGTTAATCGATCAGTTTGGCCGAATTTGAATGGCTAGAAGTGGGCTTTGCCCAATATATCATTTGCCACGGGGTGCCAAAAAAAAAAAAAAAATAGAGAAAGAAAGGTGAATCCGAATTTGGTGCTCGTTGTCCCTTAAAAGATTTTCACAATTTAAATTTAGACAATATAAATTTAATTTAAATATTTAATTTAATATTAAATTTTTATAATTTTTATAAATTACTATCGAACTATATTCTAAACAGTTTAAGTTTAATATTAATTTTTTATAAATTTTATAAATTTTATTTTGACAAATAAAACATTAAAAATAAAGATAATATCATAATTGAAACTTTTTAAATTATTTTAGAAAAATATAAGTTAAAATTTTTTAATCTAAACCATCCAAAGTAAATTTGGATAGTAGATTTATAAAAATTATAAAAAATTTAAAATTAAATTTGGATTATTTAAATTAAATCTAAATTGACCTTTGTGATAAGTAGATTTATCAAAATTTTATAATTTTTATTTAATAAATATAAAATAAAATATAAGTTTAAAACTTTAGATTTAGACTATTTAAATTAATTTTAGATTGGATGGTTTTAGATCTCATCAGGAGTGACTCATTCCCTAATGAGCACTGGAAATAAATCCAACAAAACTAAAATAAATTCAGGAGGAGAGGTGCAAGAGAGAATCCTCTCTCATAGCGATATGATTAGACTGAGGAATTTCCCATAATTGCGATATAAAATTGATGCAAAATAGACAAAAGGAAAAGAGAGAGAAAAAATTAAGGAGAAGGAGAAAAAAGATAGATCAAGAATGAGGGGGAAAGACTAAGATTTTCAGAAATTATATATTCAATAATTATTAAAACTCAAATATAACTTAGAATCCTAGTTCTATTTATAGTGCCTTAAAAATAATAAAAAAAATAGCAATTTAAATTCAAATCATATATCCAATTTATATTTTAAAAGATACTGATATAGCATTGTATCCTATTTTACTAAAGATAAATAAATCATATATATATATATATATATATCTATATAATTTGGTGTGCTTAGCTTCCTACTATGATGTGTTTAAAGGTCAAGTTCGAATTCAAGTTTGGAGATAGGATCGGATTAATTTACTATTTGTTTATACATATAAAACATGAGTGGTACTGTTTGTGCATCTCCTATCTTTCTTGAATAGTAGATTTACCTATTTGAAATTCAAATCAGATTCATTCATTTAAAAATGAATGGTCAAATTATTTTATGCTTATTTAATATAATATAAATAAATAAATTTATTTTTTTGGTAGAGTTGATTTGGAAAATAAAATAAATTAACTATTGCTTATTATTTGGGTGTTTTTATATTATTTTTTTGATAGGTTTGGATTTGCAAATAAAATATGCTTATTAGCACAAAAAATATGCATAATTAATTTCAATGTTAGATTTGGATGGAAATTTCTATAGAGTTATATTACAACAAAAAAAGTTTTTATAGCAATGATGTTTGCAACAATTTTGAAAATCACTGCCGTAATTATAATCGCAATATAGCAAGGGATATAGTAGCGGTTTTATAATTGATATCACAAAAGTCAAAATATTACAAGCGGTACACTGCTACCTGAAAATCACCACTAAAGATGACCTGAAATTTCGAAAATCAATTTGAAATACTTTGGCAAGAGGAATGTAGCGGTTTAAAATAGCTACAATATTTGAAAATTTGAATTTCACACCAAAGTTTGTCGCGGTTCACAAACTGCAACTATTGACAATAATGCGTGACTCTGCTGTTACTTTAATAATTAGGCCGCTCACTTTGCTTTTCATATTTTGTGAGCCGCAAATGCATGTTCATGTTTGTATTTGCTTCTTTGGGGTCAGTCATGATCGCGTAATATTAGTTAGTAACCGATCTTCGGTACGTCTTGATCTAGAAGAAGTAACTTCTTGTTCAATCAATTCGGCAATTCCCATAATAGAAAGATATTTCGGCCCAACCAATCGTATTAAATTGTACAATCTGTTAGTAATATATAAACAATTAATATATAACATTTTATTAAATTAGAACTGTTCTTTGTTATAATAAACAGATGAAGAAAATATTTTAAATTGGGTTGTAGTATATTATTATTGTTATTATTATTTATATTATTATTATTACTATTATTATTATTCATTGACGTAGTCTCACTTGGACTTGATTGCCATTTTTTAATTTCCCTGGTAGACTTCTAACTTTTCTTCCCATGTAATGGTAGGAATTAGGAAAGCTACGATCCTTTGACCAAAAGGAACAAAAATAATATTAGTACTAGATAGAAGGTCTATTAACATATTATCTTGGCCAACTTTTCTTTTTTCCCGACTCTCTCCTAAGTGAGAGTTTTGAGACTCTCTCCACACTAGGTGTGTTAGAGCTTGAGATTGAGTGAGTGTGATTTGGTAATTGGAGGATGGGAGGTTGGTATGATGGATGACAAGGAGGTTGCGAATGCTGTGATTGATGAACCGATTGTATGGAATGAGGAAGGTTCAAGAAAAACATTGATCGAAAAGTTGTTGGCTAGCAAAAAGATGAATAGGCCAATGTTTGAATCAATGGTGCGAAAAGCCTAGAATTTTTAGGAAGGTTTGAACATTATTAATCTGAAAGGAAATGCGTTTGCATTTTGTTTTGCAGATGAGTAGGAGTGTCAGAGGATTTCATGTGGTAAACCTTGGTCGATTAATGGTCATATGCTGAATATTCAGGAGTGGAAGGGACATATGTCGATTGAGGATCTGGATTTTAGCTTTTGTCCGATCTGGATCCAATTGCATAATGTGCCTTTAGGTGCGATGAACTTGGAAAATGCAATTTAGATAGCTGGTCGTGTTGGGGAGGTGGTTATGGTGGAGAATCCGTGGTGGAATGATACATTAACTCGAGGATTTTTAAGGATAAGGAGAAGACATTGGCATTGGGATTCTGGCTTATGAAACTTGATAAGGAGAAGGCGTGGATTTCGGTGCATTATGAAAAAATGCAAAAGTTTTGCTATTGGTATGATCATATTGGGCATGAGTTTTGAACATGTCATTCTGTATAGAAGATGTCATTGGTGGACCCTAGTCTATCAAGGTATGGTGCTTGGTTAACTACTAATCTAGTTAGGATCTAGGAAGAGGTGATGATTGTGGTTAGGGATGGATGGTCGGAACTGGATCAACTAAGAAATGGTAGGGATGGTAGGTGAGAATGGAGAGAAAGGAGGAGGGAGGAGGGAGAGAAGAAATCTAATGATAAGAATGATGACTTGTTTGTAATAAGGTTATGTAGTGGTGAGAAGGGGAATAAGCAAGTAGATAGAAAAGATGAACCTAGAGAAAACAGACAGGGGAGTGTGGACTGTGTTGCTTTTGAACAAAAGTGTGGGCCTAGTGGTTGGAAGAATAAAGACAGGAAGGAGATTGTTAGTGGAAATAGGGGCAGTGGTGTGGCTACAGAAGATGTTGGGGTGGTGGACTTAGGTCAAGATAAGGATAAAGAAAATTGGGCCATATGTCCTATTTTTAAGCAAGAGGTTCACAGTGTTGCTAATAAAGTGGAGGTATTGAACTTGAAAAGAGAGGCATGAGTTGAGACAGGGCTTGAAAAGACTAAAAGAAGATTATGTGAGGAGGATTTTAATTAGAAGGCTGTAGGGTTCGTTGTTGCTGAGAATGTGAGGAAGATCAAAGCTTGATTGAGGAAGAGTATTCGAAAAAAAGAAGTGAGGTTTAGAGGTGCAAAATTTATGCAATTTGCTAATGATGAACTAGTAAGTAGTCATTGGGGTTTTGAGGGAGAAGATACTGAGCTATTTACAATATGTGAAAATGGGTTTGATGAGGGTTTGCAAGCTGAAGGTGTAGATGGCTGGCCTTAAACAGCCACCCAAAAGCCGTGAAGTTTTTATGCTAGAACTGTCAGGGTCTAGGAGGGCCCTGACAGTCAAAAAAACTGAGGGAGGAATGCAAGATTAATAAGCCCTCAGTTGTGTTTTTGATGGAAACAAGGATGGTGAAGGAGAAGGTAATGAAGTTGAAGAAAAAATGTCAAATGGATGAAGAATTCTATGTGAAACTAGTAGGAAGAAGTGGTGGATTAGCAATGTGTTGGAGTAAGGAGGTGGTGGTGAATATTTGGCATTATTCAAGAAATATTATCCTTGTTAGTTTGGAATCAGTCTTTTGTAAGGTTTCAAAGTATGTTACTTTTGTTTATAGAGCCCCGAGAGTTGAAGATAAAGAGAGGGTATGGGAGAAAATGAGGAGTTTTGCTTCTGGTGTTTGGGATTTGTGGCTGTGTTGTGGTGATTTTAATGACATACTCTTAAATGTTGAGAAGTTGGGAATGAAGACTGAATCTCAGGAAAATTATGAATTTTCAGAGTATGTTAATTGACTGTGGGTTATTAGACCTTGGTTTTAAAAGTGCAGCTTTTACTTGGTGCAATGGTAGGGTTGGTAATGATCATGTAAAGGAAAGATTAGACAGAGTAGTGGCAAATGTAGAGCTTAGAGAAATTTTTTTGGATGCAATAGTGCTACAAGTAGAGCCAGTAGGGTTAGATCATCATATGCTCATTGTTGATTGTGAATATGAGCATGTGAGGGTTCTAAGGATGTTTAGATTTGAAGCACCATGGTTTGAGCATGATGACTTTTTGCAAGTAGTGAAACAGGGATGGAGAGCTGGGGTAGGGTGGAGTAGTGATAAGGTGGAAGAGTTGTGTTGGAGGCTTGAAAATTGTAGAAAGATTTTGATAAAATGGGCTAGAAATATGTTTCCTAATGCAAGAAAGCAAGTGGATGAATTGACACAGAAACTTGAGGAGTGTCATAAAGGTGTTTGGAATGAAGTAAAGAAGGCTGAGGCAAAACGCTTGGTGAATTGAATTGAAGAAGCTTGGTTGAGAGAAGAGAAATTTTGGTGGCAACGGTCCAGTGTAAGCTAGTTGAAGGCTGGGGATAAGAACACTAGATTTTTTCACTCTTGTATTGTGCAGAGGAGGTTGAGAAATAAGGTTGTAAAGTTGAAAGGAGGTGATGGTGAATGGATTGAGGATGAACAGCTTATAAATGGAGCTTTTACTAATTTTTATAGTAATTTGTTTATTGCTGGAGGGTTAAGGGATATGGAAGGAGCTCTGAAATTTATATCAAAACAAGTTACAGATAAGATAATGTGTTGCTGATGCGTGCTATCACAAGTGATGAAGTGAAAGAAGCTGTGTTTCGGCTTGGTAGTAAAAAGGCTCCAGGGCCCGATGGATACTCTGGCATTTTCTACTAGAATGCATGGCTTGAGGTATGTGGTGAGGTTATTGAGATGGTGAAAGATTTTTTTATGAATAATACTAGTTTAAGTATTGTGAATGTGACCAATGTAGTCTTGATTCCAAAGGTGGATAGGGCTGAATCAGTGAGACAATACAGACCTATAGGTTTGTGTAATTTTGTCTATAAAATTGTATCAAAAATTTTGGCTAATAGGATGAGGAGTTTATTGACCAGAATTATTTCTGGCCATCAAAGGGCTTTTGTTGCAAGTAGATTGATTCAAGATAATATAATAATTGCTCATGAGGCTTTCCATTATTTGAGAAATAAAAAAAAGGGGAAGAGGGTGGATATGGCAATCAAGATTGACATTAATAAAGCCTATGATAAGTTGGAATCGGATTTTATTGAGGAGGTTTATGGAGAATGGGGTTTTGTGATAGGTGGATTGGATGGATTATGGAATGTATTAAATCTGCTAGTTTGAATTTAATGGTCTCTGGAAAGAAAATTGCAAAGCTAAACATGGGGAGGGGTATTAGGCAAGGAAATCTTTTGTCTCCATATTTGTTTATAATTGGTGCAAATGTTCTGTCTTTAATGGTTCAGAAACATGTGGATGAAGGTGTATTAAGGGGGTCAAACTGGCTCAGAATTGTCCTATTTTGTCCCACTGTTTTTTTTGCTAATGATGCATTATTTTTTGTGAATGCTAGTAAGAAGAATTGTAAAGTTTTGAAGAATATTCTAGATGTTTATTGTTGTGCATCTGGGCATATTGTGAATTTGGATAAGTCATGCATTTTTTTCTCACATAATGTTGTAACTGAGGTTAAAAATGAAGTTTTTGAAGTGTTGGGTATTAAGGCATCTGATGATCCTGGAAAGTATCTTGGGATGCCAATGATATGGGGGCGTTCTAAGATAGAAGCTTTAGCTTTTGTTAAAAATAAGTTGAGTGGTAAATTGTAGGGTTGGAAGCAATGAATATTGACTTTTGCGGGGAGGTATTGATTAAGGTAATTGCAAATGCTATTCCTGTGTTTCTTATGTCATGCTTCAAATTCCTAAAGAAAGTGTATGAGGATCTGGATGGTATGATCTCAAAGTTCTGGTGGGATAGAGAGAGATGGAGGGCAGGATTCATTGGAAGGCATAGAGATTTATGTGTTTGCCCAAGGGTGAAGGTGGTATGGGATTTAGGGACTTTGAGATCTTTAATGATGCATTACTTGCAAAGACTGCATGGAGAATCCTTCAAAATCCTAATGATTTGTGGTGTGCAATTTTGAAGGGTATATACTTTCCAAAATCTGATTTTACACATGAAAAAAAAGGGTGTAAGGCATCGTGGGGTGGTATAGCATTTTGGAAGGAAGAGATAAGAGGATTGGTACATGGGAGAGGGTTGGTTTATTTAGGGACCAGTGGGTTTCTTTTGCTCCCGGTATGTGTCTGGTTAGGGATGATTTGTCTGATGAGATGAAGAGTTTGAAAGTATGTGTTATAATTTCTGATAGGAAGTGGTGTTTTGATAAGGTGGAGGATTGGTTGAGTGATGTTGAGAAGGATTTGATTGGCAAAATTAGACTATCAGTAAGAAGAGTTGATGATAGAATGGTTTGGGTTAAGAGTAAAGATGGAGAGTATTATGTGAAACTGGGTTATAGAAGCATGAAAAGCAGTGATAATGGCAGAATGAGGAAGGATCCTGGTAGGTCCTATAAAGTATCAAAGAAGTTGTGGAATGGTATTTGGAAAATCAGGATGCCATCCAAAGTTGTGCAATTTATGTGGAGGGTTGTTAGTGGTGCTTTAGCCACTAAAGAGGCTTTGTTTTGAAGGAAGTGTACTGATAGTTCAATTTGTGATATCTGTCATGCACAAGTCGAGACTATTGAGCATGTACTATTTTTTTGTCCATGGGTTAAGGGGTGTTGGTATGGGTCTCCTTTGTCTTTTAAAGTTAGCAAAACTGGTATGTGTAGTATGGGTAGGTGGATGAAGGAATGGTTGTTTGACAGATATGGAGGGGAGGATTATGAAGTGGCTACTGTGGCTGCAATTTGTTGGTATGTGTGGAAGATGAGATGTAGTTTTTGTGTTTAAGGAAGAAAGGATTTACCCATAAGTTTGTTTGATGAGAGCCTTGGGTTTGGTGGGGGAGTTTTGGGGACAAAATAGTAAGAAAAAGGCTGACACAGTGACTGGAAATAATGTTGATAAGTTGCTGGTTTGGATGAAGCCTGTTACAGGTAGGTGAAGATCAATATTGATAGAGGTTTTAGTTCCAAGAATGGGAAGGCTACGATAGGTTTGGTGGGAAGAGACTATGGAGGGCAATTCTTGGGGGGTACTGGACTTAAAGTTTGTCCTAATCAGCATTTACAGTTGAGTGTTTTGCTTTGGTTGAAGCCTTGCAGGTGAAAGATCTGTTTAGTGATGGTCATGTGATTGTTGAGACAGATTGCTTGGAGCTATATAGGAAAGTTCAGGAGGAGGATGCTAAAGGGTGCGCATGGGAATGCTATGACTTGCTGTAGGAATGTTTTTATCGGAAGAGGTCTAATAGTAATTGGTCATTGTCTTTGGTAGCCCGTGAGGGAAATAAAGCTGCTGATGCTGTTGCAACTTTGGTCATGGGAGGAATGATACCGCAAGGATGGCTGAATAAGCCACCATCCTCTTTGGTTTCAATTTTGATGCTGGACCTATCAGATAAGAATATTGATGCAGCAAAGAAAAAGGGAATTGGCTGATAGTTTACTGCTAATTCTGGCTTGTTTTGTTCTTTTATTTATTTGTACGTTGTTTGCTTATGTTTCTCTTTGTGTCTTGTTTTTAGTGTATTGTTGTTTTTTTCAGGATGCTTTAATTTTTTTTTTTCCTTTGCTTTCGTTTCTTGATTTCTTCTATTTGTGAGTGTATTAATCTTTTTAATATTAATAAAATGGTATCTTTTTGCTAAAAAAAAAAACATATTATCTTGGCCAACGAAGGTCTGTTAATAGTTGAAAATGTGTATACAAATAAGATAAATATATATATATATATATATAGGCCAAAATATATATAGATAATGGTTTCTAATTGCCTTTTTTTTTTATAAGGCCTAATTATCCGGTCTTATTACTTCATAGAGATGAGGAAATTTTGTTCCAATTTGGTAATTTTATTAAATTTATCATAATTTGAATTAGTTTTTAAACTATCCCGAGAAAATTAATCTGTAAATCTTTTTAGTTTTCATTAATTTTGAATCAGTACTTATAGTTTATTTTGCTTTAATCAAGTTCTTATAATTTGATTGATTAAATATATTAGTTTTGAAGGTTAAAATTATTAATGTATGATTAATTTTTTTCAAACAAAACAATTTTAAAATTTATAGAAAAATTGATTAAATATTTTTAGCAAAAAAAGTTGATTAAATACAATGTTTATATTTTTTATTAATTTTGTATGAAAAATTACATATGCATATTTTATTTAGAAAACATTACCTAATTATAAAAAATTGAACTATAAAAATATAAAAGTGCTAAACTTTATTTAAAAGAAAACTTTTAGGATTTTAATTTTTAAAGATTAACAATTCAATAGACCAAATTATAAGAACCACATTAAAATAAAATAAATTATAACAGCCTAATTTACAATCAAAACGAACTATGACATGTACAATTGATTTTCCCACCTATCCTCAATCCCTTTCTTTACTTAATCTTTGTCTTTTCTGTAAATTATTGATGAGTATTATTTAAAAAAAGGGCTTGCGCGCTCACGTTCGCGCTTGAATCAGTTTTTAATTTTTTTTAATTGTTTTCTGTTTTTTTTTTAATTTTTTAAGTATTCCATGATCATTAAACTCATATGTTTAAGTAAAATCATAACAAGAATGTAAATTCAGATCATAAACTCGAATCATAAACTCATAAAAATTTACCTCTATTAATACATAATTATTAAATTTTATTATTAAATAATTACAATATAAAATTTGAACATATTTTGATTTAAATATATTTAAAATATAAATTATTAAAATTAAACATATCTACATTAACAAATTATCATACAAAACATAGAAATTTTAAAACAAGGAAACTTATTTTTGGTATTTTTTATTTTTTATTAACATTAATTTTTGCATTTTAAGTTTTTTTTTCTTTGAACCAGGTTCTATAACTTTTCATAAACTGACTTGTTCACAATATATATTTAACTTGCTCAACTCGAAAAAAAAAATCAATGAGTTTTACAAGTTTACATCTAATTCGAGTTTATGAATTAATTGATATAATTTTAAAGCTAAAAAAATAAAAAATGATAAATTCAAAAGTAAACTTGTGAGTTTGGTCAAATTTGTATTTAATTCGAGTTTATGAGTGAGTGAGTATATTTTTATATATTAAAAATATAAAAATATTAAACTTATAGAGTTAACTCGAAAATTTGATAATTATAAACATTCTTACAATCAATAGTTGTAAAATTATTCTTTCAAAAAATTTAAGTACCAATTAAAAAATTATTCTCTTTCAAGAGACGCCACACACTTATATAAGAATTAAATCCTAAAACAATATTTGATGGGTTCAGCCCATCACCATCAGTACCCTGCTCATTTGGTCCCCCCACCCCCAAGATAATAGTAAAATAATAAGAGGCCATTTGCAATCGCCGCCCAATAATTGGTTGTGTGGGCGTTCGTCACGGATGAGTAATTCCTCAAATAATTTGCAAATAAACTTTTGTCTTATTATTTTACTTTAATGAAATGAAATTAAAAAAAAAATATTCTGGGCAATAATGACCATCTCACCAACGGATGTGTTCGCTGCGTTATCCTTTCTTCGCGAATGAATGTCTTTGCTCTATTTTTCATTGGATTTGCAACTTCTCAACAAATGAAAGTATTTCGCTTCACTTCATTTTCCATTATTTGCTTGAATTTCATATTCTTCCAACTACAAAATAATCATCAGGGTCATTCTATTATCAGTGTAAATATTGGGTTTCAGCTAGATAGGCTCTTGTCGGTTAACATTGGAATCATTTCAGATCATGATTAACACTTGACAACTTTTTAATTTTATTTTTCATTTTTTAGATTACCATTTATTTAAGTTTTTTTTTTTGGTACACATCTGCGGTATTTTATGGACCTTAGCTTGATCCTTTAATAAAAGAAGAGTAATCATCAGTGTCCTCTTTTCCATTTGTTTGGTTGGAAGTGAGAGAAGTATATGAAAAATTTTCATAAGTTTTCGTTTCTTTATTTGGTAAAAAAGAGTGAAAGAGAGGTATTGTCCTCTCACTACTAAAAATTTGGTTTTATATATGTCCTCAGTATAACAGCTATTATGAAAACTAGTATATAGAAGAGGCAAGATTGGATGTAAGAAAATTCATAACAATTATTTATATTAACTGTTAAATAATCTTTAGGACTACATAAAAGTTATTGAAAAAAATTGTTACTCTATCTATTAAAAAATGTAAGGTATTTTTTTGAGGAATTGAATGTGCAAAAATGTAGGACATTTTTAATATTTAAGGTGTAATTATTACCTTTTTTTCAAAAATGCCCTATTGATAGTGACTTTATATCTATTGTAGGGTGTTTAATAGGAGTAAATATGAAAAAATATTATTAGTTTGAAAGTAAGTAACTACTTTATTGGAGGGTGAGATTCGGTTAAAAATACCTTACATTTTTAAACGGAGAGAGTAAACAATCTTATTTTTAAAAAACTTTATTTCCAAAGTCTATATATGTTTGAAAACAACTACTACATAGTTTCAAAGACATAAATATTAGTTTCAATAATCATTAATTACTTTATAATTTTTTAAACTTAAAGAGTATTTAGCGGTTTTAAATAATTTACATTATATTATACACATCACATATTTAAACTTAATTTTTGTTGTTATGTTTGACTTGACAATATTTTGAGAATGCATTTGTAGAAAACTATGCTACAATTGACATTGAAGAAATCGTTGAAAAGTTGTCCCAAGATTTATTCAAGTAATGGGTAAAATATATACAAAGAAGATAAATGATCACAACCATTAACTTGTTCAATTTTGGTTCTTTATATATATCCGTTATACTTAGGCAAAACATACTTACTTTGGCCAATTTAACTAGTAATAGGTTTTACTTAGCAAACTTTTCCTTATAATTACTTTAAGGTATAGGCATTTTTTTTTGACAATTTTGACATATTTTTAAATAGATTTTAGAAGTTATTATAGAGAAATAAAGTTGGATTTTGAATAATTGATCAATATATATGAAAGTTGGTTTGTTTTGAAATTCTATTGTTGGAATTCTGCTGTTTTGGTTTGTTTTGTTATTACAGGGGGCTGCTAGAAATGTAATTTCCTATTTTTAATAAAAAATAGAACTATATAGCAATTATTTACAAATAATCAAATATATAGTTGGCTAGGCAACTTGTAAAAAATAATCAATTGAACAATGGCAGGAAAGGCTTAATAATATTGGTTTCAAAGAAACAAGAATAAATGAAAACTCTTTAAAAATAGGATCCCAATAAAAATCAATTTCCAAAATCATTTAAGCTCAATTGCAACAAATTAGAGTTATCAAAGGAGTGGAAACATGAGGTAACCCATCAATAGGATTTGCAATTTGAATTTAAATTATTACTATTTTATTATTTTAAATCTTTATAAATAGAGTTAGGTTTTTCATTCGTATTAAACTTTTGTGTATCATTGATTAGACTTCACTTTTGTGTATCATTGTCCAAAAGTTTTAGTCTTCACTTTTCTTCTTTCTCTCTCTTTCCCTTCTCCCCTTCTCG